CAACTAATACTCCATCTGGTTAACAATGATTTAATAAATTATCTACACGTTTATCAAATCTGATTACGACTTCAATTATGGATAAACATATTAATACGGGAAAAGTGGAAAATAATTATAATTATGTTGGATCTATATCTATGCTTTCGTAATGGATCGACCCTGACCAGGTATATTTTTTAAGAGCCAGAAGATATTTAACATAATGTTTCTGCTTCTTCTTTTTTTTTTTTATCGTAAACCTATTACAAAGACAATGACAACGACAAATTTTTTTTTTTTAAATTGAACTAAGAATCATACATTTTGAAACGGTATTATTAACGATTGCTTCAAATATCAAAGAAATTATGGACGAAAGAATAAAAAATTTAAAATTTTTTAAAAATACATAAAAATGATTTGTTATTTAGGTGACAATTTTGAAAAGTACATTAACATTTATCGATCAGATTATATTGCATAAAAGACGCTAAAATGGATAAATCAATCCAATCTAAATTTGGACAACATATTTCTAATAACTTGTATTGTTACTAGGTTGCATGAAAACTCCACCCAAGATCCGTTTTCCATTTCGGAAACGTTTCAGAAATAGAAACGCGGAGAAACGCGATGGAAACGAGTTTTTTAAATATTCCGATTTGGAAAAGTTTTGGAAACGCGGCCGAAAACACGTTTCCAAAATTGGAAACGCAACTTTTGGTTTTGGAAGCAAAATGAATAAATACTTTGAAAATATAGAAATTTATTTGTCGTTTTTAATAAGTTTTAAAATCTATTATTATACACTAATAAAATTTTTTTCTCTAATTATCACCATAACCTAAAAAAAAAAAAAGAAGAAGAATCTCTCTCTCATCCAGTTCTAGATCTAGATCCGGATTTCATCATTTTTTTTTGTTGCAAATATGGTTTTCATTGATTTGTGTTGAACCTCCGAGAAATTTTGATTATTTTTGGATTAGTTCTTCTTATTGATCTAGGGTTTTGACGTTTTTTGTAAAGTTTTTTTTACAGTTTTTTAAAGGTTTATAAAATTAATAAGGTTTATAAAGTTTTTTTACAGTTTTTAAAAGGTTTATAAAATTTATAAGGTTTATAAAGTTTTTAAAAAGTTTTTAAACACACTTAAAAAAAAAGTTAAACAATTTAGATTAATTTTTTTCTTGATATTTTTCTAAATGATGTAAGGTTTTGACGTTTCTTATGAATTTTTTAAATAA